AACAATTCCATAGACAATTTTTTTCACTTCTTTCTAGGAAAGTTATAACAAGGTAGAAATGTGACTATTCACATGATTTTCATTCTCTATATCTAATTGAGGTTTTAAAAAAGATCCACATATTACAATTGAATTACTTATGAATTCGAAAGTTCCAAAACATTAGGAAAACAACATAGATGCACTAGGTTGTCAGCCACCATCTTATGTTAGTGAAAATGTAAGAAATTTATATGTTTTTCATGATATATTAGAATACAACATTATCAACAAAAAAAATGAAACAACCAATACCATCAAAAATAAATAACAAAATTATTATGCATTGAAAAAATTAATATGTTTTTCATGATATATATAGACAACATTATTAAAAAAAAAAATAAACAACGAATACCAACAAAATTAATATACATTGAAAAAAACATCACCTTTATGAAATACATACACATGGTACATAACTTACATGATCCAACTTGACAATCGCATTGTTTCTATAATACAAATTATTTATGATACCAATCATTACAATTCATCGTCACCAAAACCTGAAACAATAAAATGAAAGTCTTCAATTTCCACCATCTTGAACTTATGTAACGCCCCACTTGATACGTAGCTAATTTTTTGTTTTGCTCTTATTTGAGTTGGTATATTGTTCATATTGTTTGGTTGACCCTTGGTTGAAAGATGTATGGGTTTGGTTGATGTGTTTGCCCTGAAATTGTAAGACTTGGCAAAATCTTGGTGTTATAGACTTCGTCGGGGCGAAGAATAATTTTCGCGCGCGCGGCGAGCTTCTACAACCAAAGAGGTAGGTTCTGTAATTTTTCACCGGGGCGAGAAAGAGTCTTTGTCGCGGTGAAGAGCCGAAGAAATGTGTATTGAGGTTCTAGAGAATTCTTCCATAGGGGCAAAATGACTTTTCTACCCTTAGTTTAGCAGGAAAAGTGGGGATTAAAATGTAGAGGATTTTATGGAAAATATATTAAAGTGGGGGTGTGATTGTAATGATTGAAAGGACAAAGTAGAATTTTGAAGAAAGAGCAAGGGCAATATGGGAAGAATGATATACTTTGAGCTAAAAAGGGGATAAGCTTCTAAACCCTTCATTCATTCTTCTTCCACCGCCATACTCCTTCACCATTTCCTCTCAATTCTTCCTTTAAGCTTTCAAGGATTTTTGAGGTTTTTTGCAGTTGGATCTTGGTAAAGAATTGATCTAAGCATCCTAAGAAGAATCCTTGCTCTAATGTGAAATTTGCCTATAAAGGTGTTGAGGTCTTAATGTGTTAATGTTTAAAGGTGTAGAGAAAAGACTCTACCAAGAAAAGAGAAGTATTAGTGAATCACACCATCAGGTAAGTAAATCCCAATCCAAGTTGATATTTGAGAAATCCTTTGAGTAGAGATTTATTTATATATATATGTTATGTTATTGAACTTGTGTTAGATGACTATTTATTTATGGTGTTAAATACACTTCAATTAGAAGTGTGTTTGTGATGAGAGTGGAGTTCATGATGAAATTGGAGGAGATTGAGAAATCTTTTTGGAATGTTAAGTTATGGCAGAGATTATACTTGGTGAGGGAGTTTTCTCCCTTTTGGATGGTTCAAGGGAGGAATGGACTTATAAATAAGTGAAGTGTAGGTATACACTAATTGTTTGATGAATGCCTAAGAGAAGTATGAGTATGAGTTGTGAACCTTACTTTTTGCAACATTGCATATTGACATTTCCAAAGTGCATTACTGAACATGAACAATCCATTGCATTAATTGTGCATTTGATGAGTATTTTTTTGAAAAGAGTAGAGAACTTTGTGACTAACCTACTCTAAGTAATACTAGTTTGAAAAAGAGTAGAGAACTGTGTGAATGAACTACTCTAAGAGTAGAGAGAATGAGAAGAGCAATAAGAACGGGTTGGTGCTTTGTGATCTCCACCCAATAGGTATAAGAACGGGTTGATGCTTTGTGATCTCCACCCGATAGGTATGAAAATGGGGTGGGTGCTTTGTGATCTCCACTCGATGGTTACGGAAAAAGGGTTGGTGCTTTGTGATCTCCACCCGAAAGTCATGAAGAGTGGGTTGGTGCTGTGTGAACTCCACCCGGCCGTGCCTCCGGTAAGATGAGGCCGTGACATGTAAAAGAAGTTAAGAGAGCTGTGTGAAAGAGATAATAAATGAGATGAAAAAGAGTGAATAAATGAGATGAAAAAGAGTTTAAGGAAAGAATTAAGAGAAAGAGTTACGGGGACAGTCGAGTAGAGGATTTACTTATTGAGCATTATTTTGTGCTTACCCCGTTGTTTTTCTTTGTGGTTGCAGGATCTAGATGAGAACGCGGTTGGACAGGCATCGCCGAGTAAGGAGCAATAGCTACACTATCTGCTGTTTTAATGTCATTTTGTAAATGATAGTCTATTTTGTATAAAGAATGTTTATATGAAATAAAAGGAAATTTTTTGGGCCCATTTACTTTTGCTAATATACATGTATTCTATTTGATATATTTCTATGAGTAGTATAAAGCAGTCATTACAACTTCGCCATAACTTAGTCATAGATATGACAAATATTTCACCACCATCGATTTGAGGTGCAAACTTTAGCACACTTTTGTTGCAGAACTGTTAATAGGTGAAATATTAGCTTCCCTTTTTCATAAATCCAAAGGAAATCAGTTTCATCATACCAATCCTAACCATTCACCATGATCGAACCTTACACAATAAAGTGATTTCGTTCTCATTCTATAAATCATGAAACAGTCCCTCAACTCATACCACATTATGTTACTCAGTATAAACAATATGGGCAAAAATTAATTGCCTATCATCGTATTAATATACTTAAGACATACTTACAGTTCTGCATAACGTAGAAACATCCTCGACTTGATGCCATTAAAATACATGAATATTTTCCCTAAAAACAAAATGAACCAAAATTTTATGGATTATCATATAAAGATTGTTAAGAAATATGCTTAACATTCCACAGTACAAAACCAATTATTCATTCAAGTAACATCTATTACATGAAACATGAAATCAACAAAAATTAATTCATTTTCATAAAAAGTTTGTTAACATATATACTTACTGCTCTGCAGGACAAAAACATTTAATCATTCAAATAACAACTTGAAATACATGAATGTTTTTCAAAAATAAATTTAAATAAATTGATTTTCATATTAAGATAGATAGGGCATATACTTACAGTTCAGTAGACCATAGAAACATCCTCGACTTGATTTTATCAAAGTACACGAATATTTCCCTAAAAACAAAAATAACAAAATTTAATTGATTTTCATATTAAGATTGTTAAGAAATATACTTACTGTTCCATAGAACAAAAACAATTATTCATTCAAAAAACAATTGTTACCTGAAAACAAAATCAACAAAAGTTGATTCATTTTTCATATTAAGATTGTTAAGAAATATGCTTACCCTTCGATAGGACTACAACAGTTAATCATTCAAGTAGCAACTGGTTTAACAATCTGAGATCCTAAATGTTTTTCCTAAAAACATAGTCAACAAAAATAAATTGATTTTCACATTCAAATAGTTAGGAGATATACTTACAGTTCGAAAGAACAAAAACAATTAAACCTTGAAATAACAACTGGTTTAACAGTTTCAATTCCTCATTTAAACATCCTAGCCCTTATTCTATGCCAATTCAAAGATCTTGACCTATAAACAACAACAACAAAAAATCATCAATTAACAAAATCCTGAATACCAGATATATTATTGACATCAACTAACATACTGTGGTAATAGACAATAGAATTGACGGCCCTTTATATCTTTTTGTATAGACCTTTCGAATACCAATACAATGCTTATTTATTTTGCTGAATATAAAAAGACTAACTTCAATCTTTAAATCTTTTTTTTTTTAGACCTTTGGAATGCAAATGCAATGCACTTATATAAAAATTCAACATGTCAAGATGAACAATTATAGAGGTCATTAAACCACACATCCAACGTGTCAAAACAGAGAAATTCTAGAGTTGCTTCTCAAATCCTATGTGCCAATCAACAAGGCAAGGGCTTCAAGATTATATAGATATATAGATGTTGTTTCACCATCACTCTATTATCTATTTGTTTTATGATTTTAAACTATTTTTCAAACATCAAAATTATATAAGTTTAATAATTTCCCCTTGAGGTTTCCTTAATATATATACATATTTTTTTATAATCGAGATGTTTGAGCTAGCTTGTGCGTGCCTCAACTAATCTCTGAGGTTCATTGAACACCCACAGCCTATAAGTCCAATGGGCCAAGTAAGTCACAAATGTGGTAGATGACCTCTTTATGAGATTCAAACACAAAACATTTGAGTAATCCACCCAGATAACTAAAGTCTTGCCATCTGGCCAAAAGCAAGTGGTTATTAAAATCAGAAATAACAATTTACCACGTTGCCATTGTTTTGTTAGGATTTTCATTTAAGTGATTTGTCCATCTACACTAAATCCGTTAAATAAAATACCTAAACCTTAAAAGAATACTAACATTAGGGAGTAAATTGATAATTACGACTTGAGGGGAGAAAATGTTATTAGAAAAAACTTTGGAGAAAATATTAACCTCAAATTATATTTGAAAAATAGTTTTAAAAATATTCAATCCATTTTAATTAATCATAGTTCTTAAAATTTCTTACATCTTTGTTTCCGGAAACAGAACACAATTTAAATTTTATGTTGAAGAAGCTTCTGAATCTTAATCTATATTGGATACAGAGAAATGTGGGTGTCCTTAATAACTAGGTGAAGTAAACTCAGACCAATCATTTATAAATCACGAACTAAAATATCAGCCCAATTAAAGCCCAAAAAACAGATAAATATAAAAACTCGGGCCGGCCCAAATAGAATTCTGGTGAATATCCGACCCAAAGCGAAAAGGTTCCTCAACGCACTTGGCTCTTGTCGTCGCTCTCTACAAAAACCCTAGTTCGCTTCTCTTATCTCTCTCTCTCTTTTAACTCGCACAAATACAAAAACGCTCGCACTCACAGGTCCTTCTCTCTCTTTCTCTTTGCCAATCGAATTCTCAATATTCAATTCTTTGCAAAAGAGAATTTTGATATATTTTGCAGTTTTTTTTAGTTCGTTAGTTAGTTAGATTTGATTTGATTTGTTATTTTGTGATGTTTGTGTGTGCAGATCTCAAATTTGAGTGGAACGTTTCTCCGTTAAGCCATGGCTCTGGTGAGGTTCTACGCGACTTTGCTCAATTTTTATGTGTTCTTTGTAAAATATAAGCTTAAAGGATTAAACTTAGATTGAAACTAGACCGAAGTGAAAGTATTTCTATTTGTTAATAATTGAGTGTAAATTGTGAAAACAGATTCATATGTGTAATGTTGTTCGTTTAATGTGTTTCATTTCATTGATTGAATGTTGGATCGGATTGGATTAAGAGTGAGTATTGAAATATATCAATGCATAGAATGAATTTATTAAGAACTGTCTGCGGTTAAAAGCTTTGGAGGAGACCATGTAGGCTTTGAAAATACCATTAATTATGATTTTTGTTTTGATATTTATGCATGCAAATAGGCTTATTTTCTGATACTGTTGTATCGGGTTAGGCCATGGTTAAAAAAATTGTATAGATCAATAATAATTAAGTTCAAAGTAGGTAAAGTGATTTGGAAATATTTATTTGAACTATCAACCAATTATTTGTAGGTTTAGATTTTTGGAATGTGTTTTGTTCCATAGCTGCACATTGAAAAGAGAAAAGAAACCTCATTTTCCTGTTTGATTCACTCTGCAGGTCTTGCATGGTTTGAAAGGACACAAAAGTCCATTCAAGGCACTCATTGCTGCAGAGTACAATGGTGTGCAAGTCAAATTGGTCGATAATTTTGAGTTGGGTGTCACAAATAAGAGCCCTGAGTTTCTCAAGTTGAACCCAATTGGGAAGGTAAGGTGTAGATTACAATGTATAGTTGCTGTAGACAATGGGTTTGTGAATTTCCTGATTTTGTTTTAACCTTTGAGTAANTTAATATTGCAAAGTTCATCACATTATTTATTTGTTTAATTTAGTTATTTTTAATCTGTTACTTTTACACTCTAAGATTTCGTTTTCTCAAATAACATGTAGGTAGTTTTAGGTAATTACAAATATTTCGCTTTGATCTCTGTGGGACAATACTCAAACTCATCACTTTATTACTTGAACATGACTAGTGCACTTGCTAAGGTTGATTTAGTCGCATCAGCTTCCGCACCCAACAAATTGAAGGTTAATAGTTCCAAGTTCGTTATGCTAAATGGAATCCTAATTTGATTTCATTGATTCTCAAACCTATCTCTAGCGTTCAATCAATCAATGGCATTTACCCTAAGAGGTTAATACATGATTCACTTCTCAGTCTCATCATGCTCAACAAGAAATTTCAATAAAAACAAGAGTAATTACACAATCCATGCAATATAATGTAAAAGCAACATCAATTTATTGATTAGACATTAAAATCCCAATTACATCAAAACCCTAACCCAAAAGTGAGTTAGTTCATACTAAAATTAAAGCAAATCAAAATAAAAACTGTAAACAAAGATTTCAACATGATGGAATAACAAAAAGAGAACAAAATCTTCCCTATTTGATGAATCAAAGAGTTTCAATCTCCAATCTTCTCTTCTTTCTCCCAAAAGTGTCGAATCCCGTTTAAAATGACTAAGTCCCATTTATATAGTCGATCCCTCAACCATAAGACTCTCTCAAAACAATTAAAATGCACAGTTTTAATAACTGAAAATTACAGACTTCGCCGCAGCAAAGAATAAACTTTGTCGCGGCATCGTGTTGGCTTCTAATTCACCATCTGACCCGATAGTTTATCGTCGCGGCGAACTTTTCTGAGCTATTTTGAAATTACAAAACTGCCCTCCGCTTGCTTCCTTACTTGAATCTTCAATCTGTAGTGATCTCCAATAGGAACAAGCTTCATAGTGCTTCAAATCCGCTTCAGAACTTCCTCAAATCCTGAGATTCGCTTGCTTCTGGGTCCAGAAACTCAATTCCACTCAGTATTTGCTCTAACTGCACGTTTTGGTTTGAAACATAAAATATATGAAATTAAGTTGCAATTCAGGCACAAACGAAAGAAGAAGTATCCAAAATCCGGCCAAAAAGCATAGATAAAACAGTATAATCCTAGGATTATCACACCCCTTTGGCCAGAAGGGTTAGCCCAGCCCAGCCCGCCAACCCTAACCCAACAAGTTTTTGTGCGAGCCGAGCCGGGTCAACCCATAATTTTTTTATTTTTTTTTCTTTTGTATAATTTTTTTAGCTAACTTTTTAAATATCAATAATTCAATTAAATTAATTTTTTTTTTTGTTAACATTTCAAATATTAATTTAATTTTAATACAATTAAATTGTAATATAAGAAAAATTAGAGTTATTCATTTATCAAAAAATAAAATAAGAAATAAAAATTACAACAATTATTGCCTCGTTAAAAATCTTACCAAGAAAAACCCAATTGGGACAAAAACTTGGTAAGGAAAAAAGAGTGCAATAATTGACAATTAGTTTACAAATTACAAAGTTACAATTTACGAAACAACTAATTTGAGGGTTGACTAGGATCTCTCTCATCTGTATTATCTAAATTACAAAATTGAAATGATTCTATTAAAGTATCGTTGACAATCTTGTATTGATGCTGATGGTGCGACCTTTCCCAATCTCAAAGACATGTGAGGACTTCAATCAATTTTGGTGAAAGTTTAGTCCTCTTGTCATTTAAAATTCTTCCACTTGCACTAAATGTTTGCTTGGATGAGACGATGTAGACAAGAATAGAGAAAACATCCAGGGCCAGTCTTGATAATACCAGAAAAATACATTTTCTGGTTTTCCAATATTCTAAGACATCAAAGTTGGCTCTTTGTTGTGGATATGCTGGTAGCATGTCGGAGGTTCCCAAATATTGGTGAAGATGATTTCTCTGTAGCTACATGAAGGACAGTATATTTGTTGTTGATGCTTCTGAAGAGGAGGCTATGCTTCGGGTTCAAGTCCTCTTCGACCTATTAAGTGCACTCTAAGAGTTGAAGTCTTCATTTGTGCCTTTTGATGCTACTTCCTTGAGTATTTTGCCTCTTCGACCTATTAAGGGCACTAAATGCTTTCATAATTTTTATGCCTACTTGAAACCTTCTCATCGTCATTTTCTTTATGTTCATTTCCTCCTCTCCTATCTTTTGATGTGCCTAACATGTTTATAAAAGAATGGTCTATTCTATTTTAAGATATCACTTGCTACAGTTAATATTGTTTTGCTGGCAATCTTTGATTTTTGGTGTCAATATTTGAGATTCATTCGCATCTACTGTTGAGCATTGTGTTTCATCTTCTCCCTCAGTTGTTGTTTCTTTTTTACAAAGTATTGATATCACTTGAATATATGGAAATCAACTATTTGAAATTAAACTATACTGACCTTCTGCAATTCCTATAACTTATATTCATTTTCAAGTTTGTCATTGACTACAAAAAGTTTGTCACAGCATAAGATTCATATCCTTCTTTCAAATTTGTACTTTCAGCTTGATTTTGAAAATGAATGTCTAACCACAAAGTACATGCAAAGGTTTTGGGATATTTTATGATCGTTGCCTTATTTGCTAACAATTGAGAATAGATAACCCAACCAATTTCTAGGTTACTGTGTCAAACAATATAAAATTGCTTTGGCAGTTCCATCTAACACTTTCATTTCTACCTTGTACCTTTTATAACATTAACTAAACATTATATCAATCAATGCTGAAGTTGTATGTACAGTTATTGCATTAACAATAGATAATTATAAACATTAAAAAATAAAACAATGATATACCTCATTTGAGGAGATTGATTCCTTGTTGCATTTGTCACAATATAAATAGGTATTACTATCAAGAATTTCTTCTTGTAATGGGTGTAGGAAAAGTAACACCAGCCAAATCTATCATCGACTTTAGCTATTTTGGCCTTAACTGTTTACAAAGTATGTTATAATAATCGGTTTAATGTTTAGTGAATATTGTACCGATCATTGTTATACCACATGAGATTGGTAATGTGGTTCATGATACTCTATTCTCAACACATTCCTTCTCAATTGGAGCTTGATTCAGAATCTCTTTTGCAATTGAATTATGGGCAGATTTCCTTTTCTGAAATAATGAAGAGCGTATAAAATGTTAATATGAATTATTTGTGAAATATTATAAGTACTATTTTTAAACACTACTTTTTTTGTAGAGAATGCACCTCCTCAATATCTAAATTAGAAATTCTAGATGTGTGAAGTTGTATTGAGAAATAATCTCATATGGAAAAAAAAACACAAGTACTTATCCAAAATATATCATTTCATATAATTTATTTTTATTACCTTGGAAATCTTCACATTTGTTAAGTAACAGTTATGACAATTGGCTTGGTATCTCCTGCTTGAAAATCTTCACTGATGTCTTCATAAATTTTTCCCATAAAGCAACGTTAATTGTTTCTCTGAAAAATTTGGTGTAAGATATTTTAAGTGGTAGTAGGACGTAAAGACATTAGTAAAAGATCTTACTATTCCATCTGCAATCTGATGTCTCTTTTTTTATCTTTGTTGATTTGATCCTTCAATTTCTCCTATTGCATTCAAAACTCCAATGACATCTACATATGATTTATATATTTGATATGTCAAACTATTTCTTATGCATTTAACATACGAATAGTTCAAATTAACTTTACTTGAATAACGTTGTACATTGATCTATTATGAAGATCATGAGACTAGCAACTTCAAATTTATACTTTGGAATTCAATTCTTGGTTCTTTATCTCTTTCAAAGACGTGATCTGAGAAATTGTATACAATTTATGTCGTCAATGGGTCTGTAAGTAGGAGCACAACATAGTAACTTTATATTTCTGATCAAATATATTGACCCTTCATGAAGTTGATTTCTAAATTTCCAAACCTGTTCTTTGGATGCTTGAACAACTTGTTCTGCAAAATCAATGGAAATTACAAATTTGAACAGACTTGTTTAAATTAGAATAAATGTCTAACATTATTAGGAGTATATTTCATATCTGCTAATCAATCAAAATCATGTCAAGGCTCCTAAGTTCGTTACCCATTCTGAAATTCCTACATTCCCACAATCTAGATACTTTGACAGTGTATCCAATTATCTCTTGATTGATCAATATCTTTAAGTGAATTATAAGACATTGTTATAACTTGCCTGTAAAAAGACATTGTTATAACTTGCCTGTAAAAAGACATTCAGCTTTGTTACAATTCAATAGAAGTGATAATGGTTTGCTACTGGGATTTACAAATAAAGAAGAGGTTGGTGTATCACAATTATAAATAAAACAATATCTTTAAGTGAATTATAAGACATTGTTATAACTTGCCTGTAAAAAGACATTCGGCTTTGTTACAATTCAATAGAAGTAATAATGGTTTGCTACTGAGATTTACAAATAAAGAAGAGTGGGTGTATAACAATTATAAATAAATAAAAAACGTTCAATAAATGCTTATTTTATAGCATAATTCAGGTATGCATCTTTCTTATACAATTTAATAGTATGGGAAATTAGTGCTCCTGCACTGAAGTTTTCAACTATAGGAGACCTTGCAAATTTACAATTGTGACTACATTATTGTTCGTCAACTTCCTTATACAATTCTACAAAAATACTCAGTTTTATAGGCAAATTCATAGTTCGGCATATGCACTAATATACAATTCAAAGGTAAAAAAAGTCAGGGTATCAGATACCTGTAGCAAGAACATATTTCAACTATCAACACAATTTGCTTTTTTCCAGTTGAATATACCTACATCAAAATACAATAAAAAAATTGATAATAAAAGTATAACAATTATATACAATGCACTTTTGAGTACCTTTATTGTTCCTTTAATCATGTA